GGCAAAGGTCTCACGTTCTTCCTCTGTCAGTGGGACCACTTGATCGTAAAAGCCTGGGATCTGAATATTGCCTTCATCGTCGATCAGCTTGCCGATCAACGTTGCTAATGCGTTGACGGGATTGACAATAGAGCCTCCAAAGACACCGCTGTGGAGGTCCTGATTTGGACCATGTAGCGTGACTTCGCAACACATGATGCCGCGCAGGCCGTAGGTAATGGCTGGAATTCCAGGAGCATATTGAGAGGTGTCGCTGACGACTGCGATGTCACAGGCGACTTTCCCTTTGTTGTCCTCCAGGAATTTGTCGAGGTTGTCGCTACCGACTTCTTCTTCACCTTCGATAACGAATTTGACGTTGACGGGTAGCTCGCCCGTCGTCTGAAGACAAGCTTCGACCGACTTGATGTGAGTGTACATCTGGCCTTTGTCGTCCGTTGCTCCGCGGGCGTAGATGTTGCCCTCTCGAATATCAGGTTCAAAGGGAGGTGTGATCCATTCATCAAGTGGATCGGGTGGCTGCACGTCGTAGTGACCATAGACGAGGGCAGTCGGGGCACTCGATTTGTTATTCCATTCCCCATAGACAATCGGATGGCCAGCTGTCTCGACGATTTCAGCAGTACAGCCAGCAGCGGTGAGGCGGTCGGCCACGAATTGCGCCGCTTCACGCATCGCATCGAGATAATTTGAATCAGCGCTAATACTGGGGATGCGGAGCAGTTGCTTCAGTTCTTCAATGTTCCGCTCGGCATTCTCAGCGAGATAAGTTTCGAAAGCTGGCATTCAATCAGTCTTCTGAGATGAAGTTTTTAAATGTTGAATTCATTGTTTTCATTAGCACCCGGTGAATCACCGGGGGCTAAGTTGGTCAATGATTTTGCATCTAGTCGCCATGAAGTTCGGCGAAACCACGACGGCGGCGTTTGCTGTATTCTTCCAATGACTTCTCGATAATCGGGAGAGCGTCTTCGACTGGATGGAATTCGTCGACCTCGACAGACTTGCCTTCCAGCATTTTGTAATCCTGGAAGAAGCGACGAACCATTGCGAGCCGGTGGCTGGGTAGTTCGTTGAAGTGTTCAACATGGCTGAACTCAGGATCGTTGGAAGCGACAGCCAGAATCTTATGATCCTTCTTGCCGGCGTCGATCATGACCATCAGACCGATGGCACGTGCCTTGACGAGCGTGAGCGGTGCGACCGGTTCCTGGCACATCACAAGGACGTCCAACGGGTCGTCATCTTCGGCGAATGTCTGCGGGATGAAACCGTAGTTGGCTGGGTAGTAAACTGCTGAGTAGAGCATGCGATCGACTTTGAGAAGTCCCGTTGCTTTATCGAGTTCGTATTTGATGTTGGACCCCTTGGGGATTTCGACCACCGCGGTAAATTCGCGGGGCAGGTTTTCGCCGGGGGTGACATCGTGCCATGCGTGGGTCATGACGTTTGTTCTTTATGTTTAAGGCTTTGGGAATCTGTACGGGCGAGCTGTTCAACAAAAAAAGCACGCGTTGCCGCGTGCTTTGTAGATCATTCCTTCAGATGTGAAAAGGTTATCCATTCATCATCTGATTCATGCGTGCACGATTCTTTGCACGACGCTTTTCACGGCGATTGAGTTCGCTGGGCTTTTCGTAGAACTCACGCTTACGGAGTTCTTTCTTTACGCCGCTGTGTTCGACCAATTTACGGAAACGGCGAACGGCATCTTGAACAGACTCATTATCTCTTAAACGCAACCGAACCAACTCAATCCTCCAGGCGGGAGAGATCCCGCAAATCAGTAATTAAAGTGTATGTTTGACCACGCCACTGCGCAGCTTTATCGATAGTTTTCAAGCCTTGTTCGCGAATAATAGGTGGATTTCGCGAGAAGGGCAAGCGGCATCCTGCGGTTTTCTGGCGGGAATCTTCTCCCGGGACAATCGAGAATTTCTCTCCCAACCGTTATCTTACAAATCCACCATACAACAGATTCACAAGGTCTGTCGCTGTTAGTAATTATCGGCGGATGACCTGAGTCAATACAGCATGAATTGAGCGTAAACAGTTTCTTCATGGAGATTTACGAGAAATGAGCGAATTTCGAACAGAACGTGACTCAATGGGTGAAGTTCAGGTGCCTGCCCAAGCTTATTACGGTGCTCAAACTCAGCGAGCGGTCGAGAACTTTCCCGTTTCAGGATGGACGCTCCACCCGGAATTGATTCATGCCATGGGGAAGGTGAAATTCGCCTGCGCGACGGCGAATCGAGATCTTGGCAAGTTAACTGGGACAGGAAAGAACCCGCTCAACGATTCTCAGGTTGAGTCGTTACTCGCTGCTGCACAAGAGGTTGCGGAAGGAAAGCACGACTGCCAGTTCCCGATTGATGTCTTCCAGACTGGTTCTGGGACTTCCAGCAATATGAACGTGAACGAGGTCATTTCCAACCGGGCGATTGAGATCGCTGGGGGAGACCGCTTTGAGGCGAATAAGCCGATCCATCCGAATGATCACGTCAACATGGGGCAAAGTACGAATGATACTTTCCCAACCGCCATTCACGTCGCAGTTGCCTCAAGCATTCAGCGAGAGTTGATTCCTGCACTCGAAGGGATGGAGAAACTCCTGTCAAACAAAGCCCAGGAATGGGACCAGATCATCAAGATTGGACGAACTCACCTGGCCGATGCGACTCCACTGCGACTTGGTCAGGAGTTTGGTGGATTTGCCCGTCAGTTGGCGTTGTCTGTGGGACGGGCGAAACGTGCCTTGCAAAGTGTGCTCGAATTGCCGGTCGGGGGAACTGCCGTTGGTTCGGGAATTAACACTCATCCAGAATTCGGGTCACGCGTGGCAGCCAGTTTGAAAGAGCAAACAGGCATCGATTTTATAGACGCTGTCAATCACTTTGAAGCAAATGCGCAGCGAGATGGTTTGGTTGAATGCCACGGTGAATTAAAGAGTGTCGCCAGCACTCTGTTTAATGTTTCTAACAACATTCGCTGGCTCGGATCGGGGCCTCGCTGTGGGTTCTATGAAGTCAAAATTCCAGATCTGCAGCCGGGGAGTTCAATCATGCCTGGTAAGGTGAATCCTGTGATGTGTGAAAGCCTGATGCAGGTCTGTGCCCGCGTTGTCGGGAACGATGGATGTATTACGCTGAGTGGTGCCGCAGGTGGGAATTTCCAGTTGAACATCATGATGCCCGTGATGGGACAGACTGTGCTGGAATCGATTGCGATTCTGGCTGCGGGAGTAAAAGCGTTCAACGATCTGTGTCTGGAGAAATTGGAAGCCAATCCAGAGGCGTGTGAAGCCGCGGTTGAGAAGAGCCTGTCAATGGTGACCAGCTTGAATCCGCATATCGGCTATGAGAAAGCGTCTCAGCTGGCGAAAGAGGCATTCAAATCAGGAAAGACGATTCGGGAACTATGCACTGAGCAAGAGATTTTGCCACCGGATGTTCTCAATGACGCGCTTGATCCGATGAGCATGACCGAACCGCAAGCGTGATTCGTTGAGAGATGAGTGACATTAGCCCCCGGTGAATCACCGTGGGCTAAGTTTCGTGTTGATCTTGATCGGCAATCGGTTATTCTAATGCTGCCCGGCGTCGCTTTGATGGGCATGTAATCGACGCATGATTTATGGATGCTGAGAAGACTCGGCGGCAAATTACTTTTGAAGCCGCCCGCCTGATGTATTCTCGTCAGGAGACTGAGTATTACCGCGCGAAGATGAAGGCTGGCCGCCGAATTTGCCGTGGTTGGGTGAAACCGTCTTTACTCCCTTCGAATGCTGAAATACGAGATGAGATACAACGTTTCGTCAGTCTGTATGAGGGGGACCGCCGGTTCGACAATCTGCGAGAAATGCGGCTGACCGCTTGGCGCATGATGAATCTGCTCAAGGATTACAAGCCACGCTTAATAGGCAGCACGCTGACGGGGTTTATACGCCATGGCAGCGACATTGATCTGCATCTCTTCAGCAGCAGCCTCGAAGCGATAGCTCAAACCTTGGATGAGCAGGGATTGTTCTTCGATGTTGAACATAAACATGTTCGTAAACATGGTGAAGAACGTGTTTATACGCACATTCATGTGCATGAGAAATTTCCGGTCGAACTGACCTGTTATGCAATGGATCAGGCACAAGTCGTCTTTCGCAGTTCGATTACGGGCAAGCCAATGGAAAAGGCGAACCTAGCTGATTTTGAACTTTTATTGCGGCATGAGTATCCCGATCTGGAACTGGATGAAATCGGCCAGACGCATGACTATGAAATTGATCGATTCGAGCTATACCGCCTGCTGCTGATCCCACTCGCGAATGTCGGCCAGAGTAAAAAACATCATCCGGAAGGGGATGTGCTGTACCATAGTTTGCAGGTGTTTGAACTGGCGTTTCAGCAAAAGCCCTATGATGAGGAATTCCTGCTGGCAGCGCTGTTGCATGATATTGGAAAAGGGATTGATCCGTTGGATCATGTCGCTGCCGGTTTGGAGGCATTGGAGAACTCGATTACTCCTCGGACTTTCTGGTTAATTGAGAACCATATGGAAGCCCACAAGATTGCCGACGGAACGATTGGCAGTCGGGCCCGCAGACGCTTGCAGCAGCATGCAGACTATGAAGATCTGTTGCTCTTGAATGAATGCGATCGCGGAGGACGTATCCCGGGTGGAGAAGCTCCCGAATTGGACGAAGCTTTGGAAATCATCAAAGAGTTATCCCGAAGCTGCCGGGCGTGATGATAAGCATGAGGCGAGCTAAATTTGCCGGAACGCGTTAGGCTCTGTCCCGTAATTGCAAATCAATGCCAATATTGAACATACGGCATCTCAATTTATTGTTAAACACTGTGTTTTTGGTCTCCTGAAATAGCCGGAATCGGCCAGTTCAGAATTAAGGGACAGAGCCTAGCGTCCGGTTTTCACAACAATAATTCAGTTAATTGAGCGAGATAACCGTGGCCTAACGGCCAGCGGCTGATTCACCGGGGGCTAAGTTACAGTTGCTCGCCGATACTGGCGTCCAGGTCGTTCGGGATCGGTTCACCTAAGTGTTCAGCCCGCCAGTTTTGCCACTTCTGTATTGCCTTCTCACGGATTTCAGGAGAACGGAATTTGGCAGAGCTACCGATGTAGAGATAGCCTGTTTTGGGTGCGAGATCGTGAAAGCCGTATTCCTGTGGGGATTGATTGTTGATGTAAAGTAAAGCAGCCAGAGCGACATCGCGTATCTGCACGTCCATTTGTGAAGTGCGATGACTTCCAAAGAGTTGTTGCTTTTCGTTGAGGAGAACTTCCAACTCCTCGATGACTTCACTTTTTCCATAGAGGGCCAGATAGAAAATGGCATTCACCAGATAGATTGATGAGGAATGCAGGTTCTTGCGGGCTGCCACGATCTCCCGAGCGACATCGAGAGCGGCGTCTAATTCAAACGTGGCTGCATCGCTGAGCCGTTGCATCGGTGATGAGTTTTGGTTGGTGCGAATCCATTCGCTGATGAGTGCTTTCAGGACATCGCTACTTGCAGAGTGCCGAACGGCGTCACGAAATTGATCGTCTCCGAGCATCATGTTGATGACCGAACTTGCTTCACCACTTGCCTGATTGTCAGGGTGGCAACCCAGAAACAACAGGGCAGCGATGGTGCCAGGTTCAACCTCGGCTTGTTGCCGTTGATGGGAGAAAGCTTTCAGGTCTGCGCAGCGACGTTCAAACTGTAATTGCCAATGAGGACGATTGAGGGCCAATATTAAATCAGGCTCGCTATTCAAGATTTGCACATAAAGTTCGCGGGAATCTTTCCCATCTCCCAGAAGCTGATGGAACGCTAGCCAACCGGGAGCGAGTTGTTCGGGGACCAGCCAGGGGTTCTTTCTCAACTGATGGTGTTGATCTGCGAATGCTTCTCGCTGCAAGAGTTTGAGCAGACGCGTCGCTCGATAGCGGATTTCGGGGTCGTCAGATTCTGTCCCGAGCGAAATGGCTTCGAAGGATTGATAGCCGAGTTCGAGGAGTTGTTGCTCTGCTCGCGATCGCATTGAGAAGCGACGGTCTCCCAACTGTTGGACTAGTCGCTCTGCTTCATTGGCGACTGCTGTGGGCGGAAATGTTAAGCAGAGAAGAGTGATCACTGCGCAGAACAAGATGATCTCACGGAGTAGTGGTCGTGAGCGAAAGGAGAGCGAAGACGGGGTGAATCGAGTAAGCACTTATTTATTCTCGATAGTCACTTATTCCGAGACAAGCCCAAACCGAAACGAATTGTGTGATCTCAGAGCAAACAAATTTCGCGCCGGATGAATCACCCGGGGCGAAATGAAGAGCTCTTTCGTATTTCGCGCGGCAAAGTTCTTTAAGCTTTCGTTGCGACCAGTCGGTTGTTCTGAACGGGTCGTTGGTCTTGCTCCGGGGATCTGTCGAGTCGGATGAGCCAATACAGAATGGTCACTGAGATGGCAGCACAGGCTGCCAGGCAGGCAGGCGTAAAGATCATTGTCGGCTCGCCAGCGGGAGTTTCAGTGATTTTGACAAGGTAGCGAGCAATACCGACTTCCAGGCTTTCGACTTCCAGCCTTGTGGCCAAGACTTGAGTACCGTTGAAGATCAAGTGGAAAATGATGCAAGGTATTAAACTGCGACTGCGAACGGCAATCAGTCCCAGTACCAGACCTAACAGGGACGCGTTGAACTGCTGTTTCGGAATCATGTGAATGACACCAAACAGGAGGGCAGATATCACGATGGGTAACCACTTATGTCGCGATCGTTGAAGACCACTTAAGATAAATCCTCGGAAGGCGAGTTCCTCGCAGACGGCAGGAGCAATCGCGAAGGTCGCAAAAGAAAGCCAGAGTGGGACTTCATTCGTCGCCATCGCTTTCATGAGCTGTTCTCCGCCAGCAGGCATTGGTGGAAAGTAAGGGTCCAGCCAGGCGAGAAGTGTTAACGCCAGTGGTTGCAATGCGAGTGGCAACACAACAGCAGCTGCCAACATCTTCCAGCTACAGAGATTAAATTTCAGGCTTTTGAAGGGTCTGGTAGTCAGTAAGAGAGCCATCATTAAAGGTGGGAACCCGACGGTGGCAATCAAGTAGATCATCTGGACGACGACCATGTTGGTAGGGTCGGTCATCAGCGTTGGGTTGCGCTGCATTGATGTCAGGAAGATGAATTGCAGCAGGGCGATCAAGACAAAGCAGACGCCAGCTTCCATGAAACTGGGGGTCTCTTCCTTGTCTCGCAATAAGTGCTTAATCCACAGGCCGAGTTCGAATCGTTCTGCTTCGCGGAAGAGAATGCCTTCGCCCTGGAATTGCTCAATGGCCCACCAGAGAGCGAGTGCACTATACGTGAAGCTCGTCACAAGGACTGGAACGACATACGCACTGGCAGCGACGGCAGTCACACCACCGAGTAATAAGGATTTCAGTAACAGAGCTGGGCCGACCACCGGCAGAATACTGTAGTATGGGGTCAGTTCGACTGCTGGATTCAGGCAGAACATCGTGAGGCCCATGGTCACCATTAAGAGTGGTGTCAGGTAATACTGACCTTCTTTGCTACTCTTGGCGAACATCGCAAAGGACAAGGACAGGGCGCTAAACAGCGCTGCCAGGGGGACAGCCAACAGCACAACCCACATTAGTGAGAGTGCGGGAGGGAAGGAGATATCGCCCATCGCTGCGGGACTGCCACTGGCGACAGCGGTCAACATATGTTGCCCTGTGAAGCCCATGCTGGTGAGGTTGAGCAGGGCGGTCGTGATGCTGAAGAGCATCACTGTGAGGAATTTTCCGAGAACGATCTCTGTGCGTGTCGCTGGTGAGATGAGTAGGGTTTCCATGGTGCCGCGTTCTTTCTCTCCCGCTCCGAGGTCGATTGCAGGATAGAAGGCACCAGTGACAGACATGATCACTAACAACGCAGGGAAGATTTTGCTCCAGACGTTAGCTGCAATTTCATCAGCTTCTGCCAGGTCGACGGTTGTCGATTGGACAGGGTCGGGGAGCGAGCGGGGCAGAGAAGCCTCTTTGAGTCGTTTTTCGAGTAAGAGTTCTTCCCATTCATTTAAGACTTGCCGGACTCGTTGATAGGCGATGTCTGATTTTTCATCAGCACTGTTGTGGAGAATAATCGGGCGGGGCGGGTTTTCGAGTTCGATGTCCCGGAACAGTCCTTGTGCCATCCGCTGGCTGATTTGATCGTACTCGTTGCGAAAGCCTTCTGGGAAAATGACCAGGACCTGTGCCGGAGCGACCGAAAACCAGGAGGTGACTTGCTCGCGTAATTCGATTTCCTCAGCGACAAGCTTGGCCTTTTCAGATTTATCATCCACGCCTTGGTTGAGTTGTTCTTGAACAATTGCCAGTCGATCAAGCGTTGGGCGTTTCTTTTCGATCAGTGAGAGAAACTGTTCGAGTTCCTCACGACTCTTCTCGTTCAGTTCAGGGTTATCGAGCGACAAAGGCTCGTCTGTAATAACGCGTAATTTCTCTGCATCTTCTGATTGATTGAAGTAGATCGAAACAAAGCGGTGGTCACGGATCAATTCTGGAGGTGGGATTTCATCAGCCCCGATGACGACGACATTTCGCATTTGCTCTGCGAAGGTGACGGTCATTTGCACCATACCGATGCCGAGAGCGGGATAAAGCAGGAGCGGCAGCACTGCAACCATGAAGAGTGTGCGGCGATCCCGAAGTTGGTCACGCACCTCTCGCAGGAAAATCAGCTTGATGTTTTTCCAGTTCATGCCGTTGCTTCCATCCCTACTGATTTAAGGTGCAATTGTGGTTCGTATTCCTGAATCAGTTGGAAGAAGACCTCTTCGATATCAGGTTGTTCATATTTCTCAATCAATTCATCAACCGTTCCCCGGTCGAGAATTTTTCCTTTATGAATGATCGCGACGCGGTCGCACAGCTTTTCGACTTCCCGCATGATATGTGTCGAGAAGATAATGCACTTCCCCATGTTGCGGAGGGCATCGACAGCTTCGAGGACGGCTCGGGCGACGAGGACGTCCAGACCTGAAGTTGGCTCATCGAAGATCAATACCGGAGGATCATGCACAATTGTGCGAGCGATTGAGACCTTCTGTTTCATCCCGGTGGACATCTTTGATCCGAGGACATCGCGGATCTCATTCATCTGCAACGTTTCAAAGATTTCTTCGATTCTAGCCTGGAGAGGTTCTTCTTCGATGCCGTAGAGACGGCCATAGTACTCGACCATTTCTCGGGCAGTCATGCGGTCGTAGATCCCGGTGTTGCAGGACATGAAACCAATATTGGCCCTGACTGATTCCGGAAAACGGGCGACATCAAATCCGGCTACGAGGGCCTGTCCCGAGGTTGGCTTGAGAACCGTACTTAAAATGCGGAGCGTCGTTGTTTTTCCAGCCCCATTGGGCCCCAGAAGACCAAAGATCTCGCCCGGTTTGACTTCAAAAGAGACATGATCAACCGCTGCGACGGCACCTCGCTTCAGGTCGGTGAACTCCTTTGTCAGATCCTGAACTTTGATCATCTGTTTGTCGCTGCTGTGTATGAAAAGACCATGACATCATCGTACCGTCGAGACAGGTCAGGGGAAGCGGAGTTCCAAGTATTTCATACACCGCAAATGCTTTGCGGGTCGCAACTGATTGGGATCATTGTCGAAAAGCATTCAATCAAAGAGCCACAGCGAGTCGAGACTCGAAAAATGGGCAAAGCTGACGATCTGTGAATAATCGGTGCAATGGGAACAGGTGGACGGAGTAATCGTAGCGTGGGTGGAGTTCGGCCGCTCCATGTGAACGGTAGGTTACGCAATAATTTGTCAACCAAAATCAACCGTTATTCCTCGGGTAGACCGAGAACGTAACCCACCATTTCACCAAAGGATTGCTCCACCCACCCCACAAGTTGACGTAGAACATGTCATTCAGTCAACATAAATGAACTCATTTGAATTCAACAGGATGTGGCAGATATCAATCAAGCCGGGGGAGAGGGTTTGTTTTTCTCCCTGAGCGACGAGGGTTCTAGCGTGAGTGTTGCCTTGAATTGGGATTTCAGGTGAGTCGAAATTCCAGTTTCCGACGATCAGTTTCTTATCCGTCGGGAGTTTGTCGCTGACGATTTGTTCGGCATTCAAAGCGGTGTTGAAGAGTTTGACTTCGTCGATCCAGCCGTGCCATTTGTGACGTTTCTGGTTGGTTCTGCCACCGATCATGAAGGGCCAGTCAGGACGCTCGCTGGCAACGACTTTGTGAGGGATCGATGTCTTTGTGATTTCGTTGGTTATTAAATCTTTGACAACGAAGAGAACGCCAGATTCATCCGGTTTGGTGAGGTCGACTGAGGCTGTGACTGTATAAGGGTGGTTCAGTTCGAGGTGGATTGTTGATGGAACCACTTCGTACTTTCGGGTGCCGCTTGCATCTTTACCAACGAATTGCAGGATCAGGTGACGCGGTTTATATGCCGACTTGGTGCTGGTGACTCCGAGAGCCCAGCCAGGATGAGTCGTACTACTGTCCCAGTGGGAGGCAATCGTGCGGACGGTTGCATCGGGATACAGGGACTTCAGAAAGATTGTCGCTTGAATCGTGAATTGATTGCCCGGGAGTCCCTCTGCGTCTATTGTCTGAACTGGTGGAGTTTTAGCGTCGTCGCTGACTTCGAGAACCTGTGTGTCAACTTTAGGTAATACCTGATCGGTCGGCTTATTATGGTGTGAGTTGACCTCATCAATGTAGTGTACCATTTTGGTGAGTGCTGTTTCACTTGGTGCATGTCCCCAGGCGATGAGGGCCGCTTCCCTGACCTGAGATTCGAGACTGGCTGACCCGTCGCCCCGAATTCGTTTTGCCATCTCTTCTGCTCGTTTGAGGGTCCATTCACCGTTGATGAGCAGGAGTGATTGAGATGGTGAGGTTGTGACATTGCGGGTCGGACTACTGGTCATGCGGTCCGGCAGGTCGAAGGCATCCAGCACTTCATCACGCGAGTTTCTCATGAATTTCGTGTAGATAGAGCGACGCCTGGAGGTCTTGGCTGTCTCTCCCGGTCCACCTGCTTTGAGGCTCAGGTTGCCCGTAGCTGCGAGTTGAGCGTCACGGAGTTGCTCGGCGGTCAGGCGACGGACGTTGGCCTTCCAGAGTAAGCGGTTCTGCGGGTCGATGAGCTTCGCTTGTGGGTCATCACGCAATGAGGACTGTCGGTAGGTCGCTGACAGGACGATTTGCCGGTGCAGCCACTTCAGGCTCCAACCGTTTTCAACGAAGCGAGTTGCGAGCCAATCGAGGAGTTCTGGATGTGTCGGCTCTTCGCCGAGGTGGCCGAAATCGCTGGGGCTGTTAACGATGCCGGCACCGAAGTGTTCTTTCCAGATGCGGTTGACGATGACACGGGTGGTGAGCGGATGTTTCTCTTCTGTGAGCCAATTGGCGAGGGTTGTGCGACGTCCGGTACTTTCGACTTCAGCCGGCATCGGTTCGATATGAGCAACCTTGGGGTCGAAGATGGTGAGGAAACCAGGAGCGATTTCCCCGAGCCGCTCTTTACTGGGGATGAAGACTGGTGGGGCTTGATCGCCATAGTCAGTGACAGTGAGGCCGGTGGGCAAAGACTTTGGTTTGAGGTGATCGAATTTCTTTAATTCTGCTTTGAGAGCTTCATACTCTTTCTTTTCTTCCCCTTTGAATTTAGTCGCGACGGTCTTTTGTTTGTCGATGACTTGCAGTTCGACTAAGTGAGACAGTTGTTTTTCGTAAGAGGTCTGTTCGTGGTCTGGTTTGGCGACCATCTCCTGAATGTCTTCCGGGAACATCATGACCATTGCATGGCGCATCGATTCAAGCTTCGGCTTTTCTAATGCATCGATCTTCTCGCGAATTTCTTTGGTGGCTGCCTCCCATTTGGCTTGGGCCTGTTGGAATTCGTCATGTTGTTGATCGGTAGCGACAGCGGCATCGTATGGCATTGCGATGTTGGCGAAGAATGCCTGTAGACGGAAGTAGTCCTTCTGCAGAATGGGATCAAACTTATGGTCATGGCAGCGGGCACAGCCCATCCCCATGCCCAGGAAGGTATCACCAACGGTGTCGGTAATGTCGTTGAGCATATCCTGCCATTGTGTTCTGGCATCACGCTGGTTGTATTCGTAGATGCCATGTCGCAAGAATCCGGTTGCGACTAAAGCATCAGGATTATTGGGAGCGATTTCATCGCCAGCGATTTGTTCGCGAGTGAACTCGTTGAATGGTTTGTCTTCGTTGAAAGAATTGATGACGTAATCCCGGTAGCGCCAGGCGTCTGGGCGGTAGTCATCTTTACGAAAGCCATCTGACTCGGCGTAGCGGACGAGGTCGAGCCAGAAACGGGCCCAGTGTTCTCCATGTCGTGGACTGGCTAAGAGTTCATCAACGAGTTTTTCGTAGGCTGCATCTGAGCTATCTGCTAGAAAGGCATCGACCTGTTCCGGTGTCGGGGGTAATCCAATCAGGTCGAAGTAGAGTCGTCGGACGAGATCTTCCGCTGAAGCTTCGTCAGTGGGAGCAATCTGGTTGTCCGATAACTTGCGGAAGATGAAGCGGTCGATGTTGTTGCGCGACCATTGATCATTGTCGAGGTGTGGAGGCTCCGGGGCCCGCAATGGTTGGAAGGACCAGAACTGGCGGTCTTCTTCGGTAATTTTGTCTCCGACGGAGCGAGAGGCAGCGACCTGTTCCTGTCCGGGCCAGGGGGCACCCATCTTGATCCACTTTTCCAGAATGGCAATCTTCTCATCAGGGAGTTTGCCGCTGGGGGGCATCTCGTACGATTCGTACTTGACTGCTTCGATCAGGAGACTCTCAGCTGGTTTGTGTGGTTCGATTGCCGGGCCACTTTCCCCTCCAGCCAGGAGTTGACCAATCGAATCGACGCGAAGGTCCCCTTTCTGTTTATCCTCGCCATGGCATTCGTAGCAGTGCTGCACCAGCAAAGGACGGACATGCTGCTCGAAAAAGCGATGACCGTCTCGTTCTGCTTGATCAGCGGAATAGACCAGAGATGTACTTGCTTGCAACAAGCACAAGGAGACAAAACTGAGGGTGAGGATGTTGCGGTTCATGATCGCTACACCTGTGCAGATGGAGGAGTGGTAGGATTGGAAAACTCATCGACTACGCAACACGGGTGACTTCGAGTTGCGAGTTGGATTTTTGAGTCCCTGAAGTGTACAGTATTTAATAAGCCATTTCGAATACGACTTTTCGAAACGCTGACCAGCAAACGTTAACTTGAGTCACCATTTTTAAGGTGAATTGACTGAGAATCAAACTCGAATTGATGAATTCTGCTGGCGCTCCCGTTTTCATTAGCTGAAAATCCCGATTAGTACGGTCAGATAACGGTTATATTCCATGCTACTAACGCTTCAAAGTTTTGTTGCTTGGGCAAATTTTGGATCACGTTGGTCTTGGTTACAGCGGTTTGTGCAAACTCGCTGTGCTGGACAATTCTCCTGTCTGTTTTGTGTCGCTGCGCTTGTAGTGAGTTTTCAGACGGTCGCCAAATCAGACGAGCCTGTTTTGGAATTCATACAGGGTGTAAGAGCGCTTGGTTATTATGATACTGCTTTGCAATACCTTGATTCTGTCGAGCAGCGTCCCAATTTGGCTCAGGAAATTAAGGAAGTCATTCCTTTTGAGCGGGCTCAAATTCTGTTGGAGAATGCCAAACAGCTGAAGAATCTCAATGATCAGCGAAAGCAACTTGATGCGGCGCAGGCTTCGTTTGAGCAGTTTGTGAAGGCCAGTCCGAATCACCGTCTGGCAGGTCAGGCGAATACTGCAAGAGGACGTATTTTACTCGAGCAGGCCCGAGTTGAGATTTGGGACGGTGATAAGCCATCTAATGAAGGGAACCGTGATTTGTTCCGTCAAAATGCACGGGACATGATCAAGCGAGCGCGAGAAATCTTCAAGCAGGCGGTTGACCAGCACCAGAAGGCGGTCGCTGCCTTCCCAAGTTTCATCCCGCCTGAAGAAAAGCAGAAAGTCGCGGATCGAGCTGCTGCTGAAGCATTATATATCGAGGCCGAATTGGACCTTGCTCAATGTACGTACTGGGAAGCTCAAACACACGACAAAGGAACTGAAGAGCGGGCTGATATCCTTTCCAAAGCTGCTGAGGAATTTGAGGCGATTCATACGAAGTACCGCAGTATGATCGGCGGTTTGTATGCACGTGTCTGGCAGGGCAAGTGTTTCGAAGAACAGGACGAAATCCGCATCGCCTTGGGGATTTACGAGGAAATACTCGGGCATCCAGGTAGTTCGACCACCATGAACAATTTGAAGGATCGGGCACTCCGCTTTCGTCTGATCTGCCTGAATCACGAAAAGCGAAAAGACTTCAAGCTGACTCTTCTCGAAGGGGAAGACTGGCTGCGCATTGCTAAAGCCCGCTCGCGAACGGCCATTGGCTTGGGGATTCAATGGGAGATGTGTCTGGCTCAGGAGAAGTTAGGGACCGACCGGACTGTTTCAGAGCCAGAGCGGATGAACCATCTGAATCAGGCACTCAATCGAGCCCGTACCATTGCACGCTACCCGGGAGAATTGAAGACACCGGCCACTTCTATGGTGCAGCGACTGATGGTCGCATTAAATCGAGAACCGGGTGATCCCAAAGACTTCGAAACAGCGAATGGAAATGCAGACGTCCTGTTTAAGCAGGTCAACGAGATCAACACGGAAATCACGAAGTTGGTGAAAGCAGGGAAGAAGAAAGAGGCCAAGGAGAAACAGGAAACGTTGATGGCAACCGCTGCGGAAATGGCTCGGTTGTACGACATTGCCCTGAAATTGACCGTTCCCGATACAAATCCGATTCTGATCAACATTGCCCGCTTGCGGCTGGCCTATGGTCTCTTCCTGCAAAAGAAGTATTACGATGCTGCCGTTGTCGCCGAACATCAGATGACCAAGTACGGTGAGAAATATCCTGAAGTTGGTTTGGAGTCAGGGTTTATTGCCATGACTGCCTTTGACCATGCCTACACTCAGGCCCCGGAAGATGACCGTAATTTCGAAGGGAAAATGGTCGCGGACATCGCTGAGAAAATTGCGGAGCGGTGGCCAGAGTCTGACAGAGCGAATGATGCTCGGAATGCCGTCGCACGGATTTACTTTAATGCAGATAATTTGCTTGAAGCTGCTGAGTGGTACAAGAAGATCCCTCCCGGGACTTCGAATTATTCCCAAGCTCAGGTTTCTGCTGGGAAGGCGTACTGGCGGCAGTATGTCATCGCCACATCTAAGCCAGAAGGTGAACGTCCCACGGCGGAGGATCTGAACAAATGGAAGGCAGCTGCCGTTAAGCATCTGGAGACAGGACTCGCTGAAGCAGAAAAAGAGATCCCCAAAGATAAACCGTTGCCAGATGATCTGGTCGGGGCGAAGTTGACTCTCGTCAACATCCGAAATCTGGATGGTGTTTATAAGAAGGGGAAGGATGGTCCTTTGGGGGCATTGGAGTTGCTGACCGCTGAGCCACATCCGGTTCTGAAAAGTGTTGATGTCCCCAAAGGAGAAAAGCGACCGACGAGAGCAGGAGCTGCCCAAAGCCGTGAGATCGCTTCCTTTGCCTATCAGCAGTTGCTGCGGGCTCACATCGGTTTGAAGAACCTGGAAGAGGCACGCAAGGCCCGTCAAAAGTTGGAAGAAGTAGCGGGTGAAGAAGATGCAGCGGCCTTAACGCAGGTCTATATCGAGTTCGGTCGAGAGTTGGAGCAAGAGCTGGATCGATTGCGTGCTGCCAACGAAACAACACGACTGGAAGAGGTTCGTGCCGGTTTCGAGGCGTTCTTGAATGATCTGTATAACCGCGAAGATGGACAGACCTTCTATTCGCTGTTGTGGATTGCTGAAACCTTCACCAGCCTGGCAGATGGATCGCGAGATAATCCGACCAAATCGGAAGAGTATTTCGGGAAGGCAGCCGATGCGTATCGAAAAATTCTGACCAGCGCAGCGAGCGATCCAGAGTTTGTCAGTGACCCAGGTCAGATTGTCGGGACAAAGCTGAGGCTGGCGAGTTCATTGAGAAGAAAGCCAGATTATGAAGCTGCCGAGGAGGTCATTCTCGACATTCTGAAGACGAATCCTTCTGCCTTGGATGCACAATTTGAAGTGGCGAGTTTGTATCAAGAATGGGCCAGTAGTGGTCAGTTGGGGGCGGAAGATAAGTTTTTTACTGCCATCGCCGGTTCGCCAGAAGGGGCTCCGATCACCATCTGGGGTTGGGCGAAAATGGCTCAATTTCTGCAACGAGAGCTATTCAGTAAGAAGGATGAACGACTGGAGAAGTTGCATTTCGATGCCCGGTATCGACTGGCACAGACTCAGCTGCAATGGGGAGAAGCTCTTTCAGATGAGGAAAAGTCGACGGAGCAACTCCGCAGGGCTCAGGCTTCCGTGGCAGGTTTTCAGCGAATTTCACCACGTTGGCCAGATGAAGAGTATGCTCGGTTTAACCAGCTATATCGCGATATTTTGGCTGCACTAGGCAGTCCCCAGGTTGATTTACCACGCGACCTGGATGGTGAGCCTGTTAAGGTTGATCCCGTTGATGATGATCCAACAGGAAATCAAGCGAATCCGAACCCGGAAACACCTGAACCTGAAGAATCGGGGGGAAGTAATGTCTTCCTGATGATTGTAATGTTGGTCTTTGGAGGGGGAGCCGTTGCAGGTCTGTACTTCCTGGCTGTTGGTGGCAATAAGAAGAAGTATGCGAAATATGAAACTGATGGCGAACGTCCTGCTCCGCCACCAGCGACCGACGACAAACTGACCTTCCCAGTTGAAGCTCCGGCTGCTCCTGAGAAGAAAAAAGAGGTTCAAATGCCTGCTTTCGAGTTGAACCTCTCGGATGGCCCACCAGCAAAAGGGGCAACTGCTACGGCTGATGAGAAGAAGCTGGCGCAGAAAAAGGCGATGGCCCGCAAGAAAGCGGCTCAGCAGAAAGAAGCAGCCAAAGCCTCTGGGCAAAAGAAGGCAGCACAACCTTCTTCAGCGAAACAAGCTACCAGCTCAGGTGAGAAGCCGAAGCGAAAGTACACAGAAGAAGAGATCAAGAAGATCAAAGCCGCTCGAGCTGCGAAAGCGAAAGCTGCCAAGAAGAAAGCAGAAGGGGCGGAGAAGCCTAAAAAGAAGCCCGAAGATTCATAGTTTTACGCTCGGGTCAATTGTTGAGAACATCCATCAAATTAAAGATAAGCGAAAATAGCTGAGAGAATCATGCAGACGAAACAACTCTTCATGGCGACCATGCTTGTGGTCGGTTTATCAGGAGTCACCTTTGGTCAGGGGATTGATACCGTTTTCCTGAAAGATGGCAACAAGGTGGGTGGTGAAATCACTGAGGTCACGAGAACTGACGTCACAGTGACTCAAAAAGTGGGCAATAAGACTGAAAAAGTGCCTGCGAATACCATCTACTACATCGAGTGGAAGGGCGAGCCGCCTCAGTTGAGCCTTGCTCGCAGTAATGAACGAGCAGGAAGTTATGCAGATGCCGTAACTGGGTATCAGGAAGCTCTTGCAGCTCTGGAGGGAAGCAACCCGAAAGTGAAAGCAGACATCGAATATATGTTGGCCCGAACTGGTTCGAAGCTCGCTCAATCCGATCCGGGACAGGCAGCCTCAGCGATTCAAAACCTGAAGGATTTCATCGCTCAGCATCGTGATTTCTTTCGTTTTTACGATGCCCAAATGACCTTGGCAGAAACGGCACTGACAGCGAATGACACGACCACCGCTGAAGCAGCTTACACGTCTCTGCAGCAGGCACCGTGGCCGGACTACAAACTCGCTGGTAAGATCGGAACGGCAAATACTTTGCTGGTCCGCAATGATGTTGCCTCAGCGAAGTCTATATTCGATGAAGTGGCAGCGACCTCACCCAAGACAGCTGCCGAGAAAGCCCGTCAGCTTGAGGGAAAACTGGGGCAGGCAGAGTGCTTGCAACGACAGGAGAGCCATGAGCAGGCAACTGGAATTCTGGATGCCGTTGTTGATGAAAGTACAGCGGAGGACACGCGTATTCTTGCTGAGGCTTATCTGAAGTTGGGGGATGGTTACGCCGGGCAGGGGCAGAAGAATAAAGAGGCAATCCTGGCTTACCTGCACGTTGATGTCATCCCGGCGCTCGCTGCTCATGCTGATTTGCATGCGGAAGCACTTTTCAGACTGACAAAGCTCTGGTCGGCCGTGGGTCAGCCAACACGTAGCGCAGATGCTGCCGCGAAGCTGGAATCAGATTACCCCAACAGTCCCTGGACAAAGCAACTGGGAGGCGGGAGCTAGTTGCTATTCTGAAATGCAGCGGTTGGTACGATAACGTCTGTCATTCCTCAGGGTTGTCCTGATTTTCAGTCAACTTTGTCCTTCCAGACAAATTTTTATTGATCTGTCGATGGCGACAGGCCGGGCCGCACTTTATGATCGTGAGTTGAATAACGCCTTGATGGGAACGGATTCGACTCAGGGAAAACATCCATTTGAAATTTACGACTTAACTGATAGCGGAGAATCTGATGTTTCTTGGTCGAACTCGACAACGCCAAATTTGGCAAGCGACGTCCCTTCTGATGGTCATCACAGCGATGCTGGTCGCATCCATGCCGGGTTCTGGATTTGCTTTCCAGGAAGCAGAACCAGCTGAAGCTGAGGCAACGGAGCCTGCTCCCGAACCAGCTGGTAATGAAGCCACTGGTGGCGGAGAGGAGTCTGGCAGTGACGACGAAGGTGCGATCGGAAATGATCAGACCTTCCTGTCTTGGATGATTCAGGCTTCTGGAGCATTCGGAGCTGTCCTGCTGTTGATTTCCTTCATCATGGTGGCTGTCATTATGATGAATCTGTTGCAGGTCCGACGCGATAATTTGTTGCCTGAAGGTTTTGTCGCTGCGTTTGAAGACAAGTTAAACGCACAGGATTACCAGGGTGCTTATGAAATTGCTCGTGGTGATGAATCGCTGATTGCACGAGTACTGGCCGCTGGCTTGAGTCGCTTGAATCGCGGATATGAAGCCGCTGTTGAGGGGATGCAAGAGGTCGGCGAAGAAGAGAGTATGGCGATGGAACACCGCTTGAGCTATCTGGCACTGATCGGCTCAATTGCTCCGATGGTCGGCTTGATGGGAACTGTGTGGGGGATGATCGCGTCCTTCCGTGAAATTGCGACGGCTCCGGTTGCTCCGAAGCCGAAAGACTTGGCTGATGGTATTTCAACGGCGTTGTTTACGACTCTCGAGGGTTTGGTTGTGGCGATCCCGGCGATTATCGCTTACAGCTTGCTGCGTAACCGAGTCTCACGACTCCTACTTGAAGTGGGTCGCGTGAGCGAAGGCTTGATGAGCCGACTTCCTGTAGGAAAATCAGCTGAATAGCAAACTGCATGTTTGCCCGCTGATATTCCCCGAGGTTCACAACGTGGCTTGAATGAGTAGAAGTTGCAATGAAGATCAAACAGGCTGAACAAACTGTTTTGGAAGTCGATATGACTCCCATGATTGACATGACGTTTCAGTTGATTGCGTTCTTTATGATCGTGACCAATTTTGAACAGACACAAGCTGATGAACGGGTCAAACTGCCTGCCGACAAGCTGGCTCGTCCGCCCAAGGTGGCCCGTCAGCAGGAGGTTGTGCTCAACGTCGGTTTCATTCGTAACCTGTCTGGTGAGAAAGAAAGTCCGGATCCCGTCATTTTCTATGGTACGGAACCGATCCGGGTGTTGGACTATCTGCCTCGTTTGAAGCGTGAATACGCACTCGCTGAAAAGCAGCATGGCCCTGAGGTTGCTCGGGACATTACGGTCGTCATTCGTGCCGATTCAGAGGTCCCGACAGGCTTGATTCAGGAATTAATCAAGATGGGGCAGGAGGCAAACTTTACGAAGTTTGCGTTGAAGGCGATGTCTGACGAGACACCGCAGTAACCTGGAGCGAATTGCAAAACGATCTTTGCGTTCTGTCTCGTGGATTGGCGTTTTCGTAGCGGTGAGAGACGTTCACCGCGGACACATGGTAGAGCAAACTGCTCTAGAGTTTCTGATATAAAACGCTCCGTTTGAGCAGTAGATATGAAATTTCGCAAGAAACAGAGTGATGGCAAAGTCGACATGCAAATGTCGGCGATGATTGACATCGTGTTCCAGTTGCTGATCTTCTTCATTCTGACTTTGAAGATCATTCCACCGGAAGGCGATTTTAACATCAACATGCCAATCGGTGCCCAAAGTGCCAATCCGAATGAGCTTCCACCGACTGAATTTAAAGTGAAGCTCGATGCCAACCCAGATGGAACCTTAAGCCAACTCTGGTTCGGTGGTCGCTCCCTGGGAAATGATTACCCATTCTGCTTTGAGCGTCTCAATAACGAAATTGCTCAGGTCGCGGGTGGTCAGCAAGGGTACAGCGATGACCTCGAAGTCGAACTCGATCCCGATTACAACCTGCACTATCGCTATATCATCAAGGCGATCTCGGCTTGCCGCGGACGCATGATTGGCGGGACACAGGTGACTTACATCGAGAAGATCAAGTTTGCCCCCATTAATAAGCCGCAGTAATCACAACTCCATCAATGAATTCAAGTAAACAGCCGCGAATTTTCGCGGCTGTTTGTGTTTTCAATGGGTGATGATCTATAAGACGCTCAATTCTGTCCGTTTTCCTTGATCGATAAATTGACTTCCATGGCGTTTCCAACTGTTGAAGAACAGCTGCAAGTTCTCAAACGCGGCGTTGAAAAGATTGTTCCTGAAGAAGAGTTGGCTCAAAAGCTGAAGCAGAGTCGCGAGTCAAACTCTCCGTTGCGAGTGAAATACGGAATTGATCCGACTGCGGCCGATGTCCATTTAGGCCATAGTGTTCCTTTGCGTAAGATGCGGCAATTTCAAGATTTGGGGCACCAGGCGGTGATTATTATTGGGAATGCAACTGCCATGGTCGGCGACCCCAGTGGACGGGATGAAGCCCGCACGAAGAAGCTCTCTGAGGATGAGGTCGAAGCGAACGCACAGTACTACCTGAGCCAGGTGGGAAAGGTGATTGATCTCGACAAAGCCGAAATTCATCGTAACGGTGACTGGTTCGGTCAAATGGGGCTGGCTGATATTCTCAGTTTGTGTGGGAAGGTCACTATCGCGCAGCTACTGAGTCGTGATGATTTTGCCAAAAGAATGAAGGCGGAAGTTCCCATCTTCTTGCATGAATGCCTGTATCCGATCATGCAGGCCTGGGACTCTGTGATGATCAAATCAGATATCGAATTGGGAGGGACAGAGCAACTCTACAGCTTCATGCTGGCTCGTGACTTACAGAAAGATGCGGGACTGAATCAGCAGATTGGGGTGATGTCGCCGATTCTGGTCGGGACCGATGGCACGCGCCGCATGGGTAAAAGTCTGGGGAACTACATTGGGATCTCGGAAGACTCTTATGAGATGATGAAGAAGTTCATGCAGCTGCCTGATGCTGTGATGAAGACTTACTTCGAGCTGCTGACAGAAATCGCGATGAACGAAGTCGATGAGATCCTGACTGGTCATCCCAAAGAGGCCAAAGTCAGGCTCGCGAAGACCGTGATCAGTGAATATCACGATGATGAAGCAGCTGAGGCAGCCGCAAACCGCTGGCAGAAGGAGATTGGTGAGGGGAATTTACCCTCCGAGATCCCTGAAGTAGGGTTGGCAGGTGATCTGTTGAATGAAGATGGTTGTATTCAGGCAGCGCGGCTGCTGAAAGAGTTGGGCCTGGTTCCATCGAACGGTCAGGCGATGCAGCGAATCAAGGGTGGTGCTGTTTTCTACCTGGTTGATGGTGAGAAAACGAAGATCGCCGACAAAGCCGAGTGGGTCAAGATCGTGCCAGGCATGATTGTTCGAGCTGGCAAGAAAGACTGGGCGAAAGTTGTGATTCAATAGTAAAGCTCACAGCACCAGCCACTTGAAGTGGCTGGCAAATGCTGCATTCATTACTATTGCGAGGCGTTAGAAGTTCGCTGCACGATCTGATGTCGTTGTTTGGCTGCTGCCAGTTGCTTGTAGAAAGGGGTCACTGTGTGGTAGCCCTCGATTCTTCCCAGCAGATCCGCGTTAGGGCTGAGCACGATCGAGCAGGGCAAAGATGAGACTTTTAAGATCTCAGCGACCCGTTCTTCCT